TAACATGGGATCAAGTACTAATAAGATGAGAAAAAAGGGAGCAGAAGTTATTAATAGTACCTGGATCAGTGTGAAAATTGTGCTAAATGTAGGATATCAACCAACCAGGAATGAACACAGCTAGTTAAGGATAGAAAAATAAGAGTAAACAGCGGTAAATGATGGACTGTGGAGTGAAAGAGTGAGTGGTTATAGGTAAAAAAAAAAGAAGCAACAATAAACAGTCAAAGGCACAGAAGCAATGAGGCAAAATGGATAGTGATAAAGGATGAAATGGAACGGGCAGGAGAATAGGTACAGGAAAATATGTATTATAAATATATGGAACCAACAGCACTAATAAATAGTAAGTAGAAAAGTTATTATGAACAGTAAACATCGTATAATAATATAACACGCATTGATAGAGAAAAATTGGGAAATCAATATTTATCAATTATGTAATAAAATCGATGCAGGTTTGAAGATAATTTTAGTACTAACAACATTGAAAATACAAAAAGGCAGAAGCAAGGAAAAAACTGGGAAAAAAAGGACAAAAAAGTTTGAAAAAACGGACGAAAAAAGGGGGAAAAAGTATTGCCCTAAAATTGGTGAAACTTGTAGATAATATAAGATGACACTAAGACGTATTCCAGAAGATACGAAGAGAAAAAATCATACGGAAAGAAAAAAATTTTTATTTATTTAAATCGTAACAAAATCAGAATAAGTCATCAACCTAAGAAATCAAAGGACAGCCTAAAAAGTCCAGATCATCAACATAATAAATAGAGAGGAAAAAAATCTCACATTATCCGCACGCAGTATGAAATGGAGCAGAAGAAAAGGGACGAAAGTAGATAAAGCACCTGCAAAAACAAATTTTTTAATTAAGATAATAATTAAAGATTTTATATCAACTATAAAGATAACTAAATAAAAATAAGGGACAAAAATTAGGGCAAAAATATATAATTCATTAATCATGGATAAAGAACGAAGCGAAGAATAGTAATCAAACAAAGCAAAAAGTAGGAAAGATAAATAAAAAAGGAATGAAAATGGCATATAATCAGAAATAAAAACATTAGCAGAATCCAAAGGAGAAAGAAAATAAAATTTCTAAATGCTCCTCCAAAGCCCACCGAAAGGACCCTCATACGAACAACACAGAGGAAAAGCCCCAGGATTGCAACCAAAATCAAAGTAAAGAAAAGAACGAAACGAGCATATGAAGGCAAAAGGAAAAGAAAAAAAGAGTGAGACAAAGAGACAGAAACGGCGGAGAAGAACAAAAGCGATGGATAAAAAACTCCTAGCTTAACAGAGTAAATAGACATAAATACCCAGGGCAGAAATAAAGAAAAAAGCAAGGACAGAGGAATGGAATGGTCGAATGATATAATGGTCTCGTTCACTTTATTGATTCGAGTTTAGAATTTGAGTTAAAATATAATTTTATGTGAGAGTTTTTTACTGTAGTAAAAAAGTTAGATGTAATTGTTTGTGAGAGCTTTTTACTGTAAAAAAACTCGAATTCTAAACTCAAATCAGCGAAGTGAATGAGACCTAAAAGAATTAAAAAGGCCAATAGGTCCTCCACCTACAAACGGAAGAAGCAGAGAGAAAAATGGCAAAAGCGTCAAAACACTATTGTAAAAACAATAAATTGAGTGTGGATGAACAATACCGAGGGGTTTCCTTTAGTATATAGTAATAATTTGATTCCACAGTTAACTTAAAATTAGAGGAATGTAACTATTCTTGTTAACATTTTAAATTTTAAAAAGTGAATAGACCACTTTTTAAAATTTAGATAACAAAATGAGAAGGTGATTATAATTCGAAGGGGAAGTATAAAATTTATCCTTACCTTTTAACCCTTAAAAGAGTAAAAAAAATTCAAAAATTATGACAAGAAGAACATAAATGAAAATTGAAAAAAGAAAAAGAAAGAAGAAAAATTCTCCTCCCCCAAAATGCATGCCTGCCCCCAGCCACCCTATTTTGCCTAAGCTCGCAACGACTAGCCTCTAGTTATGTGCGACGATGACAACCGCCCTTGGAGATGAGCAACACAACGACCCTTTCCCGACACGGTCATCCCACAATCTCGAGATGCTCCTCATGTGTGATGCAACGACGACATCTAACATCAAAATCGTTCCCGCATTTTCTTCGAATTTATAACTATGCATTTTTTAAAGGTATTTTGGACATGTTTTAGGTGAAAATCAAGTGTTGAATTCAAAAAAGTATAAATTTGTGTAATAAATCTAATCTAAAGGTATATATTTGATGAGATGAAAAATTAAATGTATACTTTTCAAATTAACATAAAAAATAAGGTACAAAAACGTGAATAACCCTCTTATTATATAAGCATTATTATTAATAATTTTAAATTTTAAATTGTAAAATATTTTAATTTGTTTCTTACATTTCAACATAACTAGTGGAGATGGGAGGAACACAAAAATGTCATTTAAATTATATAATTTTTATATTTATGTCATTGTGTGGATTTCACTTAAAACCTATCGTACTGAATTCATCTAAAAGAGAGTCAAAAATCTGATATATTGACGTTTAGGGGTATAAATGTAAAACTCTTAAATTTTAGGTATATAATTTACTATATTGGGTTGAGGTTGTATGTCTATTTTATTTTTTATTTCTTAAAGAAAACGAAAAACAAATGAAGAATTACACGAAATTATCTCTTTTAACTAAATGTTTAGAATATGATCTTAATTAAAGAATATTATTCATTTGCACATTTTATGGTTATTGGGATAATATCATTCTAAATGTACTTTTTTTTGTATGGTTGGTTATGAATTTTTATAACTAACTTTAAGAGTGGTTAACAAAAGATAAAAATGTCATTACAAGTTATTAAACATCATTACAAGTTATTTTATAAACTTATATATAAATATCACAATTTATGACATTCTTTTTTTCATCTACTGCATAATAGACATATATATGTAATTAACTCAAAACAAATAGAAGGGAAATTTTAAGAAATAGGCCTACATTTAAAACTTATGGAAATAAATGGCCAATTTACCAATGTATAAAAATGTTAGAATCACTTGAAAAATAATAATACAAATTCTAATGGTAAATTTTGGATATAATTGGTAAATTTTAAATTTACCAAGTTAACATCACTTTTTAAATAACCATACAAATTTTAATAGTAAATATTGAATATACGTGGTAAATCCAGGATTGACCAAGATTTACCAAGTCATAATCACTTTAAAAAGAACAATACATATTCTAATGGTAAATCTAACATTTACCAATTTATCATCACTTTTTTAAGAATTGTACAAACTCTAATGGTAAATCCTGGATATACACGATAAATCTAAGATTTACCAAGTTAGAATCACTTGAAAAAGGACAGTACGAATTCTAATGGTAAATTCTAAATATACTTGGTAAATATATGATTTACCAAGTTAACATCACTTTTTAAAGAACCGTACAAACTCTAATGCTAAAGCTGGATACACATAGTGAATCCATGATTTATAAAGTTAGAATCACTTGAAAAAGTACAAATTTTAATAGTAAATCTTGTATAAATCCTGGATATACCTAATAAATCTAGATAAATACAGGACTTACCAAGATTCACCAAGTTAGAATCACTTGAAAAGAAAAAATACAAATTCTAATGGTAAATCTGCCCATGTTGATTTTCGGGGTTAGGTAAATCCTATATATACTTAGTAAATTCAAGATTTACTAAGTTGACAACTTTTTCAAGAATTGTACAAACTCTAATCGTAAATCATGGATATACATGGCAATTCAGGATTTACTAAGAGGGTATTTTTAGAATTTTAGCTGGTTATAAATCTAAATTTACATTAGATTGACCTATTTATTAACTTCTCTTAAACATTGGCCAATTAAGGTTAGAAGTAATTACTTTCTATAACAAAATTTATTTAGCAAAATTTTTAAAATATTTTAAATATAGTACAAATCACATAGTAATTATTGTAATGATATCATATTTTGTACTATATAATGATATAATCATTATTTAAATGACATAAAAATGGTATAAAATTTTGCTTTTGTAATATTTTAAAATTTTTGCTAAATTTAAAGTTTGATATCAAAATGTTGCTATATGTGTAAATCGAGCACTTTACAGGAATACCATAAGTTTTAGACTGGATTATTGTAGATAATGCTACAGCTAAAAATACTTAAAAATCGTAAAATCCATATAAATCACAAATATATACATGAAAAATCACAAAATTCTCACAAAATCTAAAGATACTAAATTAAATACACAAAACTATAAGTATAATTTTACTCATTATACAAAATTTAAATGATGTTATTGTGGTATATTTTGTAATAGTTTTAGTACCTATGAAAGTCAATCCAACCTTAAAATCGTGGTATATTTTATAAGAGTTTGTTTAGTTTGCTGATTCGAGTTTTTAACGAGTTGAGATGTGACTTTATGTGAGAAATTTTTACTGTAGTAAAAAAATTAGGTATTGTTTAGTTCGCTAATTCGAGTTTTTAATTTGAGTTAAGATTTGACTTTATGTGAGAGTTTTTTTACTGTAGTAAAAAAGTTAGATGTGACAGTTTCTAAGAGTTTTTTATTATAGTAAAACTTGAATTCTAAATTTGAGTCGGTGAAATGAACGAGATCTTAAATGTGACTATTTATGTTGTAAAATTTAAATTCTAAACTCGAATAAATGAAACGAGGAGACCTAAATATATCGTGTAAATCACCCTGAACAGAACGGGAAAAGCACAGCCCAGGCCCGTCTTACGGATTCTACACAGAGCAAGAGAAGGCGTAACCGGTCCACTTGTTTAATCAAAGTCGAGGAGGCCCAAAAGTAAAGCCACAACGTGGGCTGGGGGGTATTTTCGTCTTTCCACTCTAACAAACCCCATTTTCGCAAAACGCTGCTCTTCCCTCTGCTTCGTGCTCTCTCTTCACCCTCTCTCTCCTCTTCTCTTTCTCTCTCCCTACAGTTCATCTCGTAACATTTCAGTTGAACGATAAAACGACACAATTCGAGCCAGCACTGGACCCCAAAACCCTAACCCCTCAATCCTAGGGTTTTTTCCTCTCTCAATTTCGATTTCTTCCTTAGCTACTTCAATGGAAGGCGACGAAGAGGAGGCTTCAAATGTGAACGAACCTCACTCGCTGATCGAAGAAGGCACTGCGGCCATGGCCGGCGCGAGCGAGGACGTCCCGGGGACCGAGCCGCAATGGGAGCCCCAGCCGGAGCCGGTGGCGGTGGATGAGCCGTCGCCGCAGGAGGCGGTCAGGGTAACGGACGACGGCGAGGCGATTGAAGGAGAGGCGGCGAAAGACGAGGAAAGGGAGAAAAACGATGCGGAAACTACTATTGTACCAGAAGAGGAAGAGAAGGTTGTAGAATTGGAGAAGAGCGAGGTGGAAAATGCTGTAGCACCAGAAGAAGAAGAGAAGGCTGTGGTTGATGTTGCGGCGGAGGAGACGATGGCGGCGGAAGAGGCGGCGGAGAGGGAGGCGGCTGGTGGACCCCACTCGTCGGAGGCGGAGGAGAGGGAATTGGTGTCGGAGAGTGGTGACGTGGCGGAGGAGGAAAAGGCTGACGAGAAAGCTGATGTTGCCGAGGAAACGGAAGTTACAGCGGCCGCGGAGGAAGTAAATTCGGGTTTGCCGGAGATGGAAGACGCGACTGAGAAGGGAGAGGAGGCGGAGATTGAGGATGTGCAGGAAATGGATAAGGGAGAGGAGGAGGAGGAGGCCGAGGAGGGAGAGGGAGAGGGAGATGAAGACAGAAGCATGGCTGAGGAAGCATTGGAGGCAGAAGCGATGGAGGAGGCGGAGGCCGACGTAATGGAGGAGACGGAGACGACGGAGGCTGAAGGGATGGAGGTGGTGGAGGAGGAAGAGGAAGCGACTCGTGGGGGGAAAAGGAAGCGTAGGAAGAATGCCAAATCTCCGTCCAAAGTCCCCTCGAAGAAGAAGATGGAAGAGGACGTTTGTTTCATTTGCTTTGATGGTGGCGAGCTTGTCCTTTGTGATCGAAGGTATGCTCTTTTTCATGGAAGTTCTTCTTCTTCTTTATTTATTTAAATTTCTTAGTTGATGATTTGTTTTGAGTAATTGAGTGAGATTGTTTTTCTGGGTGTGTCCAGGGGATGTCCTAAAGCCTACCACCCTTCATGTGTTGATCGCGATGAGGCATTCTTTCGAACAAAGGGTCGTTGGAATTGTGGTAAGTTATGCTTTCAGGTGATCATTTTTAACTTTAATAATACCCAGTTTATTATTTATTTAATTATTATTATTATTTTTTATGTTTGCTTGTTTAGAGTTCTGTTAGTTATTCAGGTGAGATTTATGGAGTTTGATCTTTGTTTGTTTAGGTTGGCACCTGTGTAGTAACTGTGGGAAGAATGCATACTACATGTGTTACACTTGTACCTTCTCCTTGTGCAAGGCGTGTATTAAAGCCGCGGTCATATTATGTGTTCGAGGAAACAAAGGATTTTGTGAGACGTGCATGAAAACTATCATGTCGATAGAAAAGAATGAAGTATGTCTGTTCTCCATCCTTAAGTGTCTGTAATTTTTGTCTTACGTTATGGCTTTTACTGTTTTAAATATGGAATTTGCAGTCCGTAGTGTTAGGATTTATGGGTTTCTTTGATTTAGATTTCAAGATGATACTTAAGGCATTGATCAGTTGATGTTCCAGTGGTTGATATTTCGAATTCTAGTATCCTTGGCAATTTCTCCCGTCTTGTGCTTATTATAAGTTATTTGCTAATTTTTAATTATTTTATTAGTATGAAACTATGCTTGTCTTAATCTTTTCTTTCCTTTTCTTTTCTCTCTGGAGTTCGAAGTTGCACTTTTGAGTCTACTATATATATTTGCATCAGTTGCTATGGGAACCCATTTATGTCTTTGATCTATTTTCTATTGTTTTTCAGAATAATGTAGATTTTGATGATAGAAGTAGCTTTGAATATCTCTTCAAAGATTATTGGATGGACTTAAAGGGGAAGTTATCTTTAACTTGGGATGAACTTGCTGAGGCCAAAAATCCATGGAAAGGATCGGATTCACATGCTTCTAAGCAAGAGTCAACTGATGAGCCTTTTGACACAAACAATGATGTTGACTCAGATAGTGATGGTTCTACTGGTAACTTTGAGTCTAGCAATACCAAAAGAAGAAAGACCAGAAAACGCGCGGAGTCTCGTACCAAAGACAAGGATTCACGTAGCACGATTACAACTGGTTATGAAGGGCCATCTGTTGACGACAGTAATGAGTGGGCATCAAAAGAACTCTTGGAGTTTGTTATGCACATGAGAGATGGTGATGCATCGGTTCTGTCTCAGTTTGATGTACAAGCTCTCTTGCTAGAGTACATAAAAAGAAATAAACTTCGTGATCCTCGCAGGAAAAGTCAGATAATTTGTGACACAAGGCTTGAGAATCTATTTGGGAAACCACGGGTTGGGCATTTTGAAATGTTAAAGCTGCTTGAATCCCATTTTCTCATTAAAGAGGACTCCCATGCAGATGATCTTCAGGGGAGTACTGTAGATACGGAAGCAAGTCAGTTGGAGGCTGATGGGAACTCCGATGCTCCAGGGAGGGCTGGTAAAGATAAGAAACGTAAATCCCGGAAAAAGAGTGACGGGAGAGTGCCTCAATCTAATCTTGATGATTATGCTGCCATTGACATCCACAACATTAATTTAATTTACTTGAGACGTAGCTTGGTTGAGGATCTTATTGATGATACTGAAAACTTTCATGAGAAAGTAGTTGGTGCGTTTGTGAGAATAAGAATTTCGGGTAGTGGTCAAAAGCAAGATCTGTATAGGCTGGTCCAAGTTGTAGGTAAATGTCTAATAAGATGTATTTCTATCTTATTTTTCGCCCAAAGTAAATAATGAGTAAAGTTTTCATTATTGTAGACTTTGTTCCTTTCTAAAATGATATTTGAACAGGTACGTGCAAAGCGGCTGAGCCATATAAAGTTGGTAAAAGGATGACAGATACCTTGCTAGAGATATTAAACTTAAACAAGACAGAGATCATATCAATTGATATAATCTCAAATCAAGAATTTACCGAGGTGATCTAACATGATCTTCAAGTGGTTGCCAGCTTTTCTACTTTTATTTCCACAACTCAACAATCTATTATCCTTTTTGGATTCTTTAAATTGTTCTTAAAAAGACATGAATTTGGACTCTTTAAGAGGATTCCGATTTAGCTATATCCCTTTTTTTAAATGGTGGATATGACGACTTAAAATTTCATTTTTACTTGAGACATACTCGCAACTTCATACAAGTAAAGTAAGGAGAATTTTGCCCGCTTCTTTTTTTTTTTTTTTTTTTTTTTTTTTTTTCTCTCTCTCTCTCTCTCTCTTTCTCTCTCTCTAAATGGGGAGAAAAGATGGCAGAAAGGGAGGGGCACAAATATGGAAGCATTGAAATGCTTTGTTAAGACTATCATCTGAACAGAAAAACTGCCACTTCCTTTTAATAAGCATACAGCACAGTGAAGCTTGCTGCAATAAGGATTTGGAAATATTTATGACTTCCTTTTTTGTGTGCATGTTTTCTGTTGGTTGACTTTTGAACTTGTTTTATTGTTAGGATGAATGCAAGCGATTGCGTCAGAGCATAAAGTGTGGATTTATCAACCGGCTAACTGTGGTAATTCTAAAGTCTACCGTTCTATTCTTTTATTATTCTTTTATTTTTTATTTTTTTACGTTTAAAATAATATTAAGACTCCTGAGAAAATTTGTATTTCCTTTTAGGGCAATGTTCAGGAAAAAGCCATGGCACTTCAAGCTGTCAGAGTGAAAGATGTAAGTTTCTTAGCTGTCGTATTTTGTTCCTTGTAGATGTTGTATCTTGCATGGTTCTCAGACTCATGGACGATGGTACACGTTCAATTTTCTTGGTTTACTTGCTTTGTCATTAGGAAGGAAAAACTTTAATGAATATTGAAGAAACGTTGACACTGATTAGCACCTCATTGGTTAATTTTTAGCATCTTATGGAGGCTTGAATAGGATTTGAGTGTGCTGTAAGTTGGCATTTAATATTTTGCTTCAATCAAAAGGCTGATGCAATACATTCGAGAAGTCTATGGAGAAAAGAAGATAGGGACCAAAACAGAAAAAATTAGCATGTTCTTAAGTTTGCAACTCTGTGAGCCTAAGACCCCTTGGTCTAATGGAATGGGTAGGGCTTTGGGTGGGGGTTGTGAGTTTAATCCCACTTGTAATCTTTATTTACAGGACGGCTCATGGATGTAGAACTAGAGAGGGAAAAAAAGAGGAGATAGGCAGAAATTGGACGGATTGAGAAAGATGGGAAAACGAAGAGTTGAGAGAGAAATAGAATACTGTAATTCTTATTCATTCAAGTTTGAATTGTAGAGGAGCAAAGCATCCAATTTATAGGCTGGTTACATGACTAGAACATGAAATCATCAATCAACCCAATCACAATCAATTCCCTAATTAATCATATTAAACTCCCCAATCAACCCCAATCAAATCTTCAATCAAGCCTAATTTGTTTCTATATCTTCTTCATAAATATGTCCGTATCTTTGATGTGTGTGCCGCTTCATTCTCCCCTGGTTGGAAAGATCTCGACTCCGTCGAGGTTTGCTGCAAATATGAATCCAAAAAACCAGGATCAAGCTGGCGAAATTCATCCTCAGTGATCCAAGTATCATCGGTCAATGGACGATTCTTCCATTGAACAAGAAAGCGACAAAGACCTTCAGTAGAAGTTGTAACATATTCGTCATCGAAAACATTGATGATTACATCAGTCAACCAAGGATTAGTGGGAAGGGCATGTGGTTTAGCAATGGAAGATGGACTTGCAGACATAAATGAAGGCAAAACTGGAGGCTCGAATGTGCCTCGGTAAGCAAATAAATTTGACACATTGAATATTGGACTAATAGTTAAATTTGGAGGCAAATCAAGTTCATAGGCATTGGATCCAATCTTACAAACAATGGGAAAAGGGCCAAGTGGATCAAGCATGAAGCTTTTTGACGGTATTCTTTCGAGAACGCTCAGGGGAAATGCGAACCATTACCCAATCACTGACTTTGAATTCCTTATGCTTACAATGTGCATCAGCAAAAAGTTTAAATTGTTCATTACTCGAAGCAATTTTTCGTCTAATCTCAACATGTAAGTTGTGGATGTGGTGAACAAAGGCTTGGCCTGAGTCAGAAGGGCGAGAATCAGGTGGCAATGGAATGAGGTCAATTGGTTGATGAGGGGAAAGGCCATAGACAATCTCAAAAGGAATTTTGCCGATGGACCAATTTATAGAATTGTTGTAGGCAAACTTAGCAATAGGTAAAATGGCATCCCAAGATACAGGTTTTTCCCCAACCAAGCGTCGAAGCAAATCTCCCAAACTACGGTTAACCACTTCCGTTTGACTGTCGATATGCGGATGAAAGGCAAAAGAGTACTTCAATTTGGTTTCAAACAATTTCCAAAGTGTCTTCCAAAAGCAACTAACAAACTTGACATCCCGGTCAGACACTGTGGTAGAAGGTAAGTCATGCAATCGAACAATTTCCTTAAAGAACAATTTGGCAACATGAGAGGCACATGTGGTCCTAAAACATGGGATAAAATGAGCCATCTTCAAGATTCTTATCAACTACCACAAAGACAGAATCATGGCTTCTGACAGTCTTAGGTAACCCTAGGACGAAGTCCATGCTAAGGTCATGCCAAGGGGTGTGTAGGACAGGAAGAGGAGTGTACAACTCGGTATTCTCCTTTTTTGCCTTTCCTAACTAGCAAGTGCCACATTGTGAAACTATCCGAGCAACATCCCTTTTCAAAGAAGGCTAGTAAAATTTATCCTCCACTAGTGTAATGGTTTTATCCCCTCCCAAAGTGTCCAACTAACCCTACATCTTGTAATTCCCAAACTAAGAAGTCTCTAAGTGAGGTGCATGGGATGCATAATCTAGTAGCCTTGAAAAGGTAGCCATCACGAATGAGAAACCAACATGTTCTCGACTAGGGCTATCTAGGAGGTCCTTGTAAATGGTGCCAAAATCAGGAGAATTGAGAAACTCATCTTTGAGATGTTCAAAACCGACAACATGAGTGCTCATGTAATATAGAAAAATAGAAACTCGGCTAAGAGCGTCAGTAGCCTTATTGTCTATTTCGGCACGATGCTTAAGGACAAAGGTAAACTCATGGAGGAACTCAACCCACTTGATATGTCTACCACTTAAAGTACGGTGAGAATTCAGGTAGCGAAGGGCTTGGTGGTCAGAATAAAGAACAAATTCTTTTGGCAATAGGTAATATCGCCAATGATGGAGGGACTGAACCACGGCATAGAATTCTTTGTCATAGGTGGAATATTTTTGCTTGGCCTCATGGTTTTAAAAAGCGCTAGAGGCGCACGCCTTGAGGCGCGCCTCATGGCGAGGCGCTGGAAAAGTGCCTCAACTCCTATGCCTTACATGGTAGGTGTTGAGGCGTGCGCCTTAAGCTGAGGTGCACGCCTTTGAGCGGCGCCTTAGGTGGTTAGTGAGGTGTCCGCCTCTCTGCAAAGGGTCTTCTGGTGGGTTATTTTAACATGTTGGCCCAAAAGTTTTTAAAAAGCCCAAAGTACCTAGGCCCTTAATGACTAAGAAAAAACCCTAATAACAAAAGAAGCAGCCCTTGCACAGTTGTCTCTCCTCCTCCTTCTTCTTCGTCGCACGGGCAAACACTCTTCTTCTTTTCTTAGTAGTGATGATGATTGATGAGTTGGGAGATTAGGCTTTTAGAAGTGCATTATGAACCTTATGATATTAGGATTTGATAATTATTTAGTCTTTTTTACGCTTCTAGTAGTGAAATAGACTTCTCTTTATGTGGATGTTTGGTTAAATTTCTTGTTTTTAATGATTATTAAGTATGGATTTAGTTTTTGTTAGTATTATTATTTTTTCCTAATTTTTTTATAGGCATTTTTTGAGGCTTACGCCTCAAAGTGCCTTGAGGCTTACGCCTTGCCTCGTAAAGGCAAAACGCCTTGAGGCCCGATTCTGCCTTTTAAAACCTTGCTTGGCCTTATTAAGTTTTTCACTAAAATATGCAACAAGATGGCCATCTTGACTAAGAATACCACTTATACCGATACCAAAGGCATCACACGAAACCTCAAACACTTTGGACAGATCAGGGTGTCTCGGGAGTGGGGCTGTGGTAATTTTGTCCTTGATTTCTAGGAAGGCCTTATGGGCGGTAGGGGTCCAATGAAATTCTCCTTTCTTCATGTACTCAGTGATCGGGGCAGTGATGGTGCTAAATCCCCAAATGAACCTTATGTAGAAAGAGGCTAATCCATAAAAACTACGGGCTTCAATCAAAATTTTAGGTTCGGGCCAATCTCTAATGGACTTAATCTTATTTGGATTAGCAGAAATTCTTTGAGAGGATACGATATACCCTAAGAAAAGCACTTGGGATTGCATGAAAGAACACTTCTTAAGGTTGGCATATAACTTTTCCTCTCAAAGGATGGTCAAAACTTGACGAAGATGTTCTAGATGTTGTTCCTTGGACTTGTTGTAAATCAGTATGTCATCAAAATAAACCACTAGGAATTTACCTATGTAAGGGCGGAAAACATGGGTCATCACTGTCAAAAAGGTACTAGGAGCATTAGACATACTAAAGGGCATTACCAACCACTCATACAATCTATCTTGAGTTTTGAACGTAGTCTTCCACTCATCCAAGAGGCTAATCCTAATATGGTGATAGCCACTCCACAAATCTATTTGTGAAAACACTTGGGCACCGGGCAATTCATCCAACATATCGTCCAACCTTGGAATAGGGAACCCATATTTGACTGTGATTTTATTGATGGCTCCACTATCCACACACATCCTTAAGATCTGTCCTTCTTAGGGGGTCAACAAAACATGAACTGCACAAGGACCGAGACTATGGCAGACAAGTCCTTTTTCTAAGAGACCTTCAACTTGTTTATTCAACTCAGCTCGCTCAGTCGGGTTCATCCTATAATGTGGGAGATTGGGAGATTGGGCAATTGGGACCCTGGGACAAAGTCTATGGCATACCGGATATCTCTCATAGGTGGCAACTCGTTAGGTAGTTCATTAGGCACGATGTCCTTAAATTTATCTGAGATAGGTGAGACACTAGAAGAGCCATCTAAGCTAGGATTCGGAGGAAGATGAAAGCTCCTTAGCTATGAGGGCAAAAACTAGACCAGTCTTAGTTCCTTCACGCTCAAACTACTTATAGGACAAAAGTTGAAGCCCACTCTTAGGAGTGTTGCTGTATGAGGGAGAGACAGACTTGGTTACGGGGGTGGGGTTGGTAGGTTGCAACAAAATGGTCTTACTACCATGGGTAAACATGTAAGTGGTTTCGTGACCAAAATGCTTAACATCATGATCATATAGCCAAGGGCGACCTAGCAAAATATGTGCAACATCCATGGGTAAGACATCACAATAAAGATCCTCAAAGTATGGTCCGATCTTAAGCGGAACTAGACATTGTTCCTTAATAGGTAAGGAAGTCCTATTGACTCAAGCAACTCTAAAAGGTGTGGGATGAGGTTCGGGTTTGAGATTAAACCTAGCAATGGTAGCTTTAGAAATTACATTCACGGTACTACCCCCATTAATAACTATCTTACAAGCCTTATTCTCGAGGGAACAAAGGTATGAAAGATACTAGTGCGCTTCCAACTGTCAGATTGGACTGGAGTGGTCAAGATACATCTCATGACAGACAGGTGATTGGAGTTGGGGACATGGTCTTCCTCATAGGCCTCAAAAGGTTCTTCCACATAATCACGGCCTTCCATAGAAGCTATAGTAACAAAGTTGTCATCATTTGCAAGGGTAGTTTCACCTATATGTTCTAAAGCTAAGGCACGATGTGGACAACGGGAGGCGATATGGCCTTTGGCATGACAATGATTGCACTGTAAGGATTCAATGGGCGGGTGACATTAGGAGCAATTGTTTCCATAGCTTTGTTTGAGTGGGAGAAACAATAGGGTGGGTGGTAGTGGTGGTCCTAGGAAGCACAAGATGTGCCCCAATGTTAACCCTAGTGAAAGGAGTAGGATGAATTTGATGGTGATCAAGAGAAGTGACAGAAGCACATCTTTGTTGGTAAGACTGGAGATACTTTTCAAATTCTAAAGCTTTATGATAAGCATCTTCTAAAGAGTCAGGTGAGTGAACAATGACTTGTCTCTTAATCTCAGCTCTTAAGCCATTAACAAACCTAGAGATAGTGAGCCTAGGTTCCTCATTAATGTCACTCCTCAACAGCAACTCTTCAACCTTGGCCATATACACATAAACTGTAGAGATTCCTTGCTTGTGGTTCAACAACTCATCTAGCAATTGATCCCTATCATAAGATGGCGTATATTTTTCTTTCAGTTTCTCTCATTCAGTCCATAGGGAAATAGGGTGATGGCCTAATCACTTAATATTGTGCTGAACTATTTGCCAATAATGTTTGGCAGACCCTACCAACTTCATTTTAGTGAAACGAATCGGCTGAGCATAGTTCATTTGGTACCACTCAAAATAATACTCCATGTTATACATCCAATCCATGAAAGCACCAGGGTCGAGTCTACCATCAAACTCGAGAGCATCTATCTTCACCCTCCTAGAGATCTCAATTACTTCATGCTGATTATACCTAGGTTGGTTAAAAGGATACTGGCAATGTTGGTTGTGGTGTCTACCTGTGGGTCTATGGGCATGCCTAGCGCGAGGTAGGGTTTCAAAGTCATCATCCTCGGAAAAACTTTCCTCGTCAACTACAGGTGGCTTGTTGACTTTAGGAAGTGGCCTAGGTGGTGTGGGCAACAACCCAATTTGGAAGTCCTATTTTCATTATGACCAGGAGGCGGGACAAGATTTTGACCATTATTGTTTGGTTCTACACATGTTTCTCTTGCACGTTTGTTTAGGATGCTGACAAAAGTCATAAAATTCATTGCGCAAGAGGTTAATCGAGTTGGCAAATTGCTCAATGGTGGCGGCAAGTCGATCGAGTCGGGTGTCAATTATTAGCCCTTCCCTCAATTGGGTCACTCTCTCTTCATTATGGGTTTGTCTCATTTCAAGGTTTTGAAATGCTCTTTCAAGCTCTTTAATAGTCATGCTGGGAGAGAAAAAATAAATGTGCTACATAACTTTAAGCGAGAAAATTTAAACTCTACCAACAAACACGATGAGAATAAGAAAATTTAAAATAGTAATTATGCAAAGATAGAAAAGAAATATAGGCTCTTTTTTTTTGTTTTTTTAATTTATTTTTTGTTTTGATTTATTTCTTGTTTTTTGTTTTTTTGTTTTTTTGTTTTTTTATAATTTGGTAAGTAAAATAGAGGAACAAGAACATAAAGGTTGGTTAGGTAACTAAAATGATGAAAGACAGCCCATATATGAGAATACAGCCCATATATGAGAGTCAAGAAAAGGCGGCCTAATATTTAGACCCACAACACATAAGAATTGATAAACCAAATCCAGATTCACTTATCAGTGAATATATTTAGTGCAAGAGATATTTACCCACATGAATATGGAGTTTTTCGGTCTCCGATAGAAATTCGATCGCACACCTCTCTTCACCGGTATTGCATATGGTCGGCGAGGAGCTGCTCTCAGCACTGTTGCTGTATGGACCATCGGCAAGGGCACGCGGTGGTGGCTGTTCTCGGTGATTTGCGTTGAACGAGTGGTGGGCTGGACTGAAAAATGAAAAGAGTGCGAGGATTGTATTGGTTGTCGGTTGTGGAGACAAATGGTGGTGTTGGTGGCGGTGCATGGCTGGTTTGAACCTTGAAGTGTTGAAAAAAAACAGATGTTTTGACTACTATTGGGTTTGTTTTGGACCAAAAGAACTTTTGTAAACAAGGTAGGTCCGAGGAATCAAAGGTTCTCTGATACCAAAGTGATGTAGAACTAGAGAGGGAAGATGAGAGAAGAGAGGAAAAAGAAGGAAAAAGAGGAGAGAGGCAAAAATTGGAGAGATTGAAAAGATGAGAAAAGTTCAGAGAAATAGAATTTTGTAATTCTTAGTCATTCGTTTGAATTGTAGAGTAACAAAGCTGCCAATTTATAGGCTGGTTACGTGACTAGAACGGAAAAGTAAATATTGTAGATTAAATACATGAAATCATAGCAGAATTCAAATCATCAATCAACCCAATGATCCAATCATCAATCAACCCGATCATAATCAATTCCCTAATCAATCATATCAAAATCCCCAATCAACCCCATTCAAATCTTCAATCAAGCCTAATTTGTTTCTATATCTTCTAAAATATGTCTGCATCTTTGATGTGTGCCGCATCACTCATACTGTAACATGTGCTTTCCTTTTTCTATTATTAATTTAAAAAAAAAGTTTGCAACTCTCTGAAACTCAAGAATTTCTATGGCATGAAGCTATACTAGAATCCTAGTGATTAGGCGGTCAGTATCTTGCTTCTCCTTTGTTGATTACGGCTGTTATTTAAAAATCAAAGTTTGACCTCTTATACTAATAAAGAGTAGGGATGGCAATGGGGCGGGGTGGAGGTGGAGGATTATTTCCCATACCCATCCCCGTGCCCCTAAACTATCCCCATCCCCATCCCCATCCCCACATAAAGAGGGGCGGGGTCGGAGTCGGGGATTCCCCATTGGGGGAGCCTTCCCCATACTTGCTCCAGTCCCCATCATTTAGGACTATGCGTTTCAAAATTATAGCAACTTAAAATTAAAATAGGAAAAAAGATCACTATAAATTTAGACCAAAATAAAAGGTTTCATAATAAAAACCAAATTCTTAACATATTGCCAATTGAATCCAAAAGTAATAATCAACGCATAAGCGAAAAAAGTATAAAAGCATCAAAACATAAACGTAAATGATCCGTTCTTTGTCTATTTCTATTAACTTCAAAAGAGAATGAGGAGGCACTAGGTAGTGCATCCCTATGTGTATATATAATATAAGAGAGGATTAATAATTGTTCTTCTTTTCTCAGTACAAGAAACTATAATCGGTAATTTTCCCTTCCCAATTTTAAAGAAAATGCAATTACCATTTTTTTAAGTAAAAGGTAATTTTAAGAGATTGTGTATCTATATATATATTTACATAAAAAAAAATTAACACATGAATGTTGGGGCGGAGGCGGGGTGGGGAGTACTTCCCCAATCCCCACCCCGCCACAAATTGGGGACTAGATTTTGTCCCCATCCGCATTCCCAATAATTGTCCCCCATCCCCGCTCTGTTCTGGGCGGGGCTATGTCCCCATGGGGATTATTCCCATCCCTAATAGAGAGCTAAGACCGTTCCTAGCAATCTGAATGCTTCCTGGATATACACGTTTCCTTAGAGCAAGAGGGCTTTATTTGTCTGTGGTCCTAAAGCTCTGTTCTTAACTTGTTTCCAGTGAGGATGCATCCTCTCTAACCATGTTAATGGTGTTACATCAGCTTTGCACTCTGTTTTTTCTTCATGCACAGAACTGGAAATGTTCAAGGGGCATTGGGTGTTTGTTTGATTTGGTATTCCTTATTGGCATATTGGCTATGACGTATATCTGTAGTTGACTTTGGATTTTCTCAACTATGATGTCCTTATCAAAGCTTAATGAATTATGCAACGTGCTTTATGGTTATTTGTTGTATTGTGAGAACTTTAGCTAAGTTATGACATGGGAGAACTGTATTTTAGTCGTGTCCTGGCAGAAGAAAAGAACGTAGACACAAGCTTCTGAAATCCATCTCTGAAACTTCCTTTACTTCATGTGATAAGCTTTCTCCAGTGTGAAGAGATAATTCATCATCTATTCTTCCATGGAAAGCATTTTTGAGTTCATGAATGTTATAGTCTTCCTATATAAATTCATCAGGCTTCCCTTTTTTTTTTTTGGTGTGCTTGTTGATAGATCCTTACATTTGTCGTTAGTGTGGATGTTATTTCGTGTTATATTCATGTATATATACATTTTATGAATACCTTTTATTATTTTTCCTTATGCAGTGGCTAGAGTCAGAGGTAGTACGGCTTAGCCATCTTCGTGACCGAGCTAGTGAAAAAGGGCGGAGAAAGGAATATCCTTTTGCTTATATATTTCTTTGCATTTTTTCCTTTGAAATGTCCCTTTAAGTTCTCTGGCTGCCTTTTGCCTTCCCCCTTTATTTTATTTGATTTTTTTCTTTTGACACTGCTTGCTTCATTACATGGGCCCTTCACTTTACCTTGTTGTGCCGTGTGGTGTTACTTTAGAGAGCATTACCTGCTAGGTGCTCCAATGCATGGATACTTTTTGAAAAGATATACACTGAAGACTTGACTGCTGCATATATACTTAAAATGGCCGGATAAACCTGTTTCCAGGAGGAAACATTGCTCTTTGTAGGTAATTATTTGTGACCTTTGTGATCTGACCAAAGTTTACAACCTTGATTTAACTTGCTAGACCCAGTTGTTGTACGCTCAAACTATTTGTCCTGATTTTCAGTGCCTTTAGATGAACAATGTCCTGACAATATCGAAGAGCTATAACTTGCTAGGGCAATGGTTTGCTTGTACTTGATTTCTTTTTCTGTTTTTATAATTTTTTAACATTAAAAGAACGAATAACAATTCAGAATTAATTTGAAGATAAAAAACAAATTCGAAGCTTTAACCATGTGTCTTAAAAAGTTGCTAAATGTACAAAAGCTTCTCAAATGATTTCTGCACCTCTAAATGTTTTTCATTTCTTCTGTTTGTTGGTCTCAATAGTTTTTCTCTCTGATTGGCTCTTTAAGCCGTGGCACCACTACATCTTCATGGTTCTCTTTCCTAAGGGGCATAATATTTAGACTGAGATAGGAATTTATTTGAGTTATTTATAGGGAGAGGAAACATAGCAACTGTGTTGAATAGTAAAGAGTCATAGCTGCCTTGTTACCATTATGTCCGCCGTCTTTAAAAATTATATCATGTTACTTGTGATGGACAATTCATGCATCTAGAAATCTTGAGGTGGTCCTTGACTTGATTTCACGCTTAGAGAATGTGTTGAGAAATTGCAACTTCTGAAGACACCTGAAGAGCGCAAGCGCAGATTAGAAGAAATTCCAGAAATACATGCAGACCCAAATATGGATCCAAGTTTTGAGTCCGAAGAAGAGGAAGAAACAGATGATAAGAGACAAGGTTTCTTAAACTGTTCAGTGAATTTACATAATCTCCTCTTGTGCCCTTTTTCCCTTTTTTTTTTTCTCTTTTTTTTTTTTTTTTGTTGATCACTTAATTATTTAGCTCTCTGTTCATGCAGAAAACTTTATGAGGTCAAGAGGTTCTGCCTTTGGGAGGAGAGGGAGGGAGCCCATTTCTCCACGGATAGGTGGATCCGCTCTGAGTGATACCTGGAGTGGGACCAGGAATTATTCCAGCATGAATCAAGAATTAAGCAGGAGCATGTCCAGTCGAGTGTTTTCTAACAAATTGGAGGATACGACTGGAGTTGGTGAGATAGTGACCGAGTCATGGAACCTAGGAAGGGACAGAGAAATGCAACCACCAAACAGCTGGGAGAAGCACAAAATGTCGACTTTAGAAGCTGGTTCTAGGAGTGCACAGTCTGGGGTAATATCTGAATCACTTCCTGCAGCCGTCTCGGAAAACTCAGGAGGTACAGGGGTTGCAGAACCAGCAGCTCAGATAAATGAATCAGAGAAAATTTGGCATTATAAGGACCCATCGGGGAAAGTCCAGGGACCATTTTCCATTGTGCAGCTTCGTAAATGGAATGCCACTGGCTATTTTCCTGTAGATCTGAGAATTTGGAAAGTAACCGAGAAGCAAGATGACTCTATACTTCTGACTGATGCATTAGTTGGACAGTTCCAGAAAGACAAGGTTCAAGCCATGCACAATGTACATCCATCACCGTCGCATTCTGGGAAGCCTCAAGGAGTAGCCATACTTAGGGGTACAGAAGTTCAAGTTGGAGGAGAAAATTGGAGGTCTCAAGGTGAAACTAATTCTTGGACAGGCAAGGTCGCTCCAATGCCAGTTGAGATCCCAAAGCATTCTTCAGATGGATGGGTTTCAACAAATCTTCCTTCGCCTACTCCATCTCAGACTCCCCTTGGTACAACAAAGGTTCAAGCTTATGAAAGTAAATGGTCAGGCGATCCTGTTCAGTCTGCTGGTTCCCTTTTGGGAGTCAATCGGATCCCAGGAAACACTGAAGGTACTCAAGAGAGTATGATGCGAGCTTCTAATAATGAGTTTTCGAGTTCATTTCCTGTTACGAGTCCATCATCTAAGCCAGAAAAGATCATGCCTTCTGGCTCTACAAGTGACCTTGCAACACATCATCAACCGACAATCTCAGCCCCTGTTTTGAATCAGGCTTCGTTAAATACTGGTGCTGATATAAAAAGTGTCGTTTCAAATCTACATAGTTTAGTTCAGTCAGTAGCTAGTCATCTCCCTCCTGTTGAGACACAAGGGTGGGGTTCTGCTTCTCTTCAGAAACCCGAAATGATTGTATCTACCCCAACGCCTGGAAGTGAATCTCAGCCTTGGAGAGGTGCTCCATCCCAGAAAATGGAAACAAATAATCATGTTAGGATGCCTGCACAACCGGGAGCTCATGGTCAATGGCGTGACGTCCCAAGTGTCAATTCCACCGTCTCATCATTTAGTGCTGGAAATGCCGGGGGGAATTTTTCAACAACTGCTTTCCAAACGGTCCCACCATCAGATCCTTGGAGACCTCCAGTTGCAAGTAATCAACCAAACATTCAGCCTCCTGGTCCACCCAATGTATCTTGGGATATGGGTGTTGTGGGCAACCAAAATGCCGCTCCAAGAATGGGGCAAGAGAGTCAAAATCCTAGTTGGGGGCCAGTGGCAGCAAATCCAAACATGGGATGGGCAGGACCAGGACCGGGAAATCCAAATATGAACTGGGGTGTTCCTAGTCAGGGTATGGTGCCTGGAAATACCAATCAAGGATGGGGTGCAGCACCTGGTCATGGGTCGACACATGGAAATCCAGTTTCTGGTTGGGGGCCACCACCAATGAATACCAATGCAAATCAAAGCTGGGCTGGTCATGGTCAAGGACAAGCACCTGGAAATGCAAATCCCGCTTGGACCGCGCCAGGTGGGAACCAAGGCAACTGGGGAAGCGAGCGAAGTCATAACACCGATAGGTATGGGAACCAGAGGGATATGGGTTCTCAAGGTGGAGATTCCGGTTATGGTGGGGGTAAACCATGGAACAGACAGTCATCATTTGGTAGTGGAGGTTCAAAGCCTCCTTTCAAAGGGCAGAGGGTTTGCAAGTTCCATGAGAGCGGACACTGCAAGAAGGGCGCTTCTTGTGATTATCTGCACACTTGAGTCTAACGATACTTAATTCCAGCCGCCCGGCATCTGATATTGTACAGTAGTATTAGTTTCTCGTTAGAGTTTTGACATTGTATAAGCAATGACCCTTTTTATGTTATAGAATTGTGCAGTGTAGAAGCTCACCATTTTTTGCTTTCTTAAAATTCAATCTTTTATAGTCTCTTGGTAAGCTTAGAGCTCTGTCACTTTGATTTTCTCATTGGAATTTGGAACTAATAATGGTTGATAGTGCTGTTGTCTCACGTTGTAAACTAAAAATGGATGGAGATCTTTTTACAGGTCCTTTTTGGTCTTTTTGCTCGTTAGCGCTTGATAAGCTCTTTTGGGGCTCTTTTTGTACACTCTTTTCTCCCGTCACCATTTTTCTTTAAAGGATCCCTACTTATACGAGCAATGTTACATGACACTAATAGTGTTAAGTACTATCATCTAATAGAAAGTGGGCTCTATAGTGTGGGACTCACATAGTGCTGGAATTTTGGACAGGCCGCTCGTAATCGTTTGAGAAATTTGATTTTGAGCCCGACGCTTGAGCTCATACGTCCGATTTTTTCGAGCTGCCCGCCCGAGCCCGAGAAGGCCCATGGACGGGCCGCGGGCCTGGTCTTGGCTGTCCAAGTTTAGTCGGGCAGCTCGAGCCCGCTCGATTGGCCCAAAAAAAAAAATATTTTTATATATTTTATTATATTTTTAAATTTTTATAATATTAATATATATTATATATAATCTACTATTATTTAGTAATTGCATATAAATATTTTTTAAGTTATTTTGTGTTAAAATTATATAAAAACTAAAATCAACACACTATTAACACAAATACACAATGTAATAAATTGTATATTAATTTTTGAATTTGTAATTCATGATTGTCTCGTTACAAACCTTACTAAGAAAAATTCAATTGGGATAAAAACTTAGTAAGAAAAAAAGAGTGCAATCATTTTGTCACGAATTACAAATTTTACAAACTTACAAAGTCTAAATATTACAATTACAATATCGAAAGCAAATATATATTTACAAATTACAATTTAATTTGAAGCTGAATGATCGTCTTCAAAATTAAATATTAATCTATTAAATTCATCAATCCATTCTTGACTTGCCGGCGAAATTGCATCCTATAAACGTTGATCGGCAAGATCTCAATCCTTAATGCAGACGGTTTCAACAATGTCCGTTTGCAATGCGTTTTGGTGTTCCTCAAGTATTCGTCTGGTTGTACTGAAGGTTTGTTCAGATGAAACAGTGGAGATTGGGATCGAAAAAATATCCATTGCCAATCGAGTTAGGACTGACCCAGTTAATGCTTGTGCCTTCCACCATTGAACTAAGTCAAACGATTCTCCACTACTGTCAACTGCTAAGCTCTCGCCGAGGTATGCCATAAGCTCGTTGAAGCCGCTGCCACCTGTTGATGAAGATCCACTTCCAACTTCTGTTTGAGTCGTCTTCTTCTTCTTATTCAACCCGAAAACATTCAAGAATAAATGCGGGTTTTCATCTTGTTGTTGCGGTTCCTGTACTCCAGAATTTGTGTTTCTAAACGTATTCTCATATTTACTATAGATCGAAAATATTTTTACCTTTATTGTTGGAAATTGGTTAAAACAATTGATGTCTAAAAATTTACCTAAGTTTTCTAAACCGTCTAATTTTAATCTAGGATAAAAAATAGTACCGAAACCATACAATAAAGGCAATTTAGACCAATATTTTTTAAATTTCTTTTCCATAGAAGCGATAGGAACTCCTAAGTGTCGAAGTGATCCCAAACTATCGAGGTGCGCTTGCATTTCCTCTTGGAGGTTACAACACTTACAGACGTAGTAGCACTTGCACTCGCCGCTTCTCCACGCCCACCACCATTGCGACCACGACCTCTAGTACGTCCACCACGGCTCGGATTAGCAGGTTCCTCAGTTGGTTGTGTTTGTGATTCCTGCGAAATAAATTCATTAGTAGGAAATTACCCTTCTTCCACGTTGTGTTGGGCATCAACAAGAATACCACCATAACCAAAAGAATCCATTATAAAAAATAAGAGCGATTTGAGGGAGAGAGCTTTAGGATATTGTGATAGTTTTTAGAAAAATTGTGAGAGAGATTTGAGAGATTGAGAGAGATTGAGATAAATTTAGAGAGATTGAGAGAGATTGAGAGAAATTGAGAGAGATTAAGAGAAATTGAGAGGGATTTAGAAAGTTTGGGTGAGAAAAATGTGTGGGGGATGGGGGTATTTATAGAGAAATTTTTGGGTTAAAAAATTAATTTTTCCCCAAAATTCGGATCTAATAGCCATTTTTTATCTCAGCGGGTCGGGTTCGGGCCGGAAAAATCAGCCAACAGTAAAAAAAAGAGCCATTGGAGTCGGGCAACTCGGGCGGCGGGTCGGGTCGGCGCCAACGGTAAAATATAGCCGTTGGTCGGGCTTCGGGCAAGTCGGGACGGAGTGAAAAAATTCAAAAAAAATTCCGGCAGTTGGCGGTTGATGGCACTCTCTCGGCGGCAGGCTTCGACGATTCGTCTATTTTCGGGCAGCCCGAGCCCGAGCTTGAAAATCAAACTTGGACGGGCAGCCTTATGGGCCTGCTCGCCGAGCCCGAAAAATTCAGGCTTTGGGTAGGCCCGCCGGCCTAAAGTTCTAGCACTGGACCCACATATAGGGTTCACCTTCTATTAGATGGTGGTGTTTAGCATCGGGGGTGTGCTTAAGCATTTTTGTACTTAAAGTTAGGTGAGAAAGAACTCATATTTTTATTTAATCAAGTGTTAAATATAACTTTTTGATAAAATCATAAAGTAACTTATTGATAAAAAATTAAAATAGAAATATATATTTTTTCCTTTTATTTTTTTTAAACATGATGCTTAGTTAGTATTAGACTATTAGGTTAGTGATTTATCCCTAAGTTGCAAAGGAATGCTGATTTTGTTTTTGTTTTTTTAATTTTATTTTGCTGTTACGTCAATAATTATTTGTAATGATCGTAAGTTATTACTATAAGAATTAATTACAAAAGTTTCTCTCAGATTCTTGTAAGTAACAATGTGTTTTACAATCTCCACAATGTAACATCTATTATTTCACTGGATGTTGATCCATAAAAATATTAGTTAAAATACCCAAAATAATGTATCACATGCCTGTTATGTGAATTTTTCGTTAAAAAACTCAACATAATGAATTTTCATTAATATTTCATAAATTGAAAAGAAATTTTCGTTAATATTTCATAGATTGAAAAGAATGAATATTATGTTTTGAAGATTGAGAGATGGTTACGCCTAAACGTGTTGAAAATAAAACGGCCGTAGTAACACAGTTAGGGCGGTCGTATTCACAAGGACACAAATTAAACAAGAAACGATTAGTAAATAAAAAACGTTGAGAGATAAACAATAAAATCAAAATAAAAGAGAATGAAATTTTTGTTGAGAAGTTTAAACGTAAGAAAAATGTATGAGGAAATTATATAATTAAAACCGATAAGGTGTTGAGATTCCCCTATATGTTTGGCTCACCCGAACAAATTTTGATTTTTGATATTACTCAATTGAAAGTTTCACATCCCAAACTAACAATCGGAAAATAAATATTTGAAGAACATGTGAATTAAAATGTATTTGAGTGAGTAAAATTCTTACATTGAAACCTAATAAAAATGATTCTTACAAGAAATCTTAAAGCGACAATATACTGTTGGTAATATTATAGTAAAAGACTACTCATAAAATAATATTATCGATATAATTATATTGAGCAAATATTACATAAAAAGAGCATGACTAAATTTCTATAAAAGTTGAAAACAAAATATATCAATATGAGAAATTACAAAAAGATAGAAGAAAATTAATCACTCAAGTATATAAACTTTGGAGAACAAATGGAGAATCAAAATCCACTTAAGATCACTTCACATATAGGTTTCTCTCTAACCTCACATATTAAAGAAAAAGTGTCTAAACATAGGCTAAAAATTAGCAACCGTGTCCCGGGGCTGCCCCGGGGTTGCCCCGGGGGTGTCTCGCTAGTGTCCCGGGGGTGCCTAGGGGGTATCCCGTTGGTGTCCCGGGGGTGCTCCGGGCGTGCCCCAAGGTGCCCTGAGGCTTTCCCGAGGCTGTCCCGGGGGTGTCCTGTGGGGTATCCTGGGTGTGCCCCGGGGGTCCTGGTGGTTCCCTGGGGGTGCCCTGGGGGTGCCCCGGGGGTGGCCTGGGGGTGTCCGGCTGGTGCCCCGAGGGTGCCCCGAGGGTGGCTCGGGTGTGTCCAGGTGGTGCCCCTGGGGTGCCCCGGGGGTGTCCCGGGGGTCTTTCGGGGGTGCCCTTGGGGGTGTCCAGGTGGTGCCCCGGGGGTAGCCCGTGGGTGTCCCGGGCGTGAGCCGGGGCTGCCACGGCGATGCCCCCCGGGGGCCCCAGTGGTGCCCCCGGGGTGCCCCGGGGGTGACCTGAGGGTGTCCCGGGGGTGCCCTGGTGGTGCCCTGGGGGGTGCCCAGGGGGTGGCCCGGGGGTGCCCCGGGGGTGTCCAGGGGATGTCCTGGGGGTGCCCCAGGGGTGTTCCGGTCGTTTCCCGTGGTTCTCTCGGGGCTGCCCCGGGGGTGACCCGGGGTGGTGCCCCGGGAGTTCCCCGGGGGTGTCCCTGGGATCTCCCGGGGGTGTTCTGGGGGTCTACCCGGGGTGTCCCAGGGGTGCCCCGTGGGTGCCCCGGGGGTGACCCGGGGGAGCCCCGGGGGTGCCCCGGGAGTTCCCCGGGGGTGTCCCCGGGGTCTCCCTAGGGTCTCCTGGGGGTGTTCCGGGGATCTGCCTGGGGTGACCTGGGGGTGCCCTGTGGGTGCCCTGGGGATGTCACCGGGGTGTCCCGGGGGTCACTTGGGGGCATCTCGGAGGTGTCCTAGGGGTGCCTCGGGCCTGCCTTGGGGGCGCCCCGGTGGTGTCCCGGGGGGTGCCCCGGGGGTTCGCCGGGGGGTTCCGGGCATGAGCCGGGGCTGCCCCAGCCGTGCCCCTGGGGGGCCCCGGGGGTGTCCCGGGGGTGACCCGGGGGTGTCCCGGGGGTCCCCTGGGGATGTCTTTGTTAGCGTTTATGCCCTTAGGAATAAATGTAACAATATTCTTTAAGACATTTTGACTATTAATAAAGATTTGTTTATTTCATATATCTATGTATTGTCCTCTTTATGTTCATAATAGTTGATAGTATGATAAGCAAACTGAAAGTCTGAGACTGTCATTCTAAATCTTTAGGTCATACATGTAATGTGAAGAACATGCGGAAGATAAGAATCTAAAGATGATAATCTAAATCTTATGATCCACAATCGAGGGAATAAAGTTGGGCGCTTTATTCATGTTAAGATTGTTATGTTGTCTACTTCCTAACAGAGAC